AAAAAAAAAAGAAGGGGGAGGCAAAAAAAGGAACCGGGTTCAATAGACACACCAAAACGGGGACGGAGGAAAAAGCCAACAGACAAGCAGCAGCGGTCAGTCTACTTACCTGGTAGATGCTGGGGATGGCGGCGATAGAAGACGAGGAGGTCGAGAAAAAAAGGAAAAGACGGAGGTATTTTTTTTTTTTTCTTTTCTTTTAAAAAAAAGGTGAAGGGAAAAAAAGTTGCCCTTTTTAGCTGATTTTTGCCTCCAGTTCCGTTTTGGGTCAGCCAGGCGAAAGCGGTCTGGCCGGGCAGTTTATATATATATAAAAATATATAAATATAAATGTATATATATCAAGGGGTTCGAGAAGAAGAAGAAGAAAAGAAGAAAAGAAGAATATATACTTGACAAGGACAGAAGAAAGAAAGGTCAGAGAAAAGGCGAGAAGGGTGCTGCAGACATACGGCTTCTCTCCCAGAAAGAGCGTGATACATAGATAACTCGCCTTCGAGCCATCTCAAGCATCACCGCGAGCACAGGCATTGGAGACCGAAGAGAGCGAGGAGGAGACGCCAGCTGTCCGTCCTCTCTTCTCCACCGGTCAAGCCACTGAAAACCGGGAAGAGGCACTCGTTTTTTTATTTCGTGTTTCTTTTCTTCTTTCTCCTCTCGCCATCATATCTCCAATCCCTGCCCGCGCCTATCTTATAGATATATCTGTATGCTCAAGGGCAAGGCGAGCAAGTGGCAAACACGGCTTGCATTATCTTCCCCTAGAGGCCACGGACAGAAACGGAGGGGGCGGGAGGGAGACGGGGAGGGTAAGAGGTGGAACGAGCTGTCATGGCTTGACCCCTGCGCGAGAGACGGGGAGGCAGAAGAAGGGCTTAGGAGGCCGGGTTTCCTTCTCTTCCTCTCCTCTGATTGACACCTGTTTGTCCAACCGAGAAGAGAGAGGCAAAACGGCCTTCTGTTTTTATCCTAGCGGACAGTGGTTGGCAGGAGGGAAGGGGGGGAAAAAGCCATAACCATGCAGCGGACGCCAGCTGGTGAGTGACAGGTCATAATGGGAGGCGTGGCCAGCGGCCCTTTTCCATTTCTCTTCTGCCTGGTTGGGTTGCAGGTGCAAACGCAGACAGGTCTCTCTTCCTCTGTAGTGTAAGTAAGTGTGTGCGATCTCAACGGGCTGTATGATCGATCGAACCGTTCGGAGAATTTCTGGACGATCCGTTGCTTCTTATATGTATTCCTTTTTCTTTTCTTCTTTGGTGGCTTGCTCTGGCTATCCCTGCTTCTTTTTTTTTTCTATCAAGGTCGCTGGCTAGTTATTCGTACAAGGTCCTCAGGTTCCGATTGCCGCGAATCATGGATCGAATGAACGTCAAAATGTGTCAGAGGGTCCATGGCCGGCTAGGGGCCCTCGGTGGTCGATTGCCAGCTATGGTAGAATGGGTCATGTATTCCGGATATAAGAATACTTACAAGCAGCAGCCCAATGCCCGCGTGAAGCCGGCAAGGTTGCAAGGATAGGTCTTCAAGGGGTGAAGGAGGAGAGAGGAAAACGACTCTCATTTAAATGTAGCCTGGGGGAGCATCGTCATCCCTAGATGTTGTCCAATTGTATGTACAAGAAAGTAAGTAAGATTAGAGTAGTGTTTGGCTTCGACTATGTAAAGTCGTAGCAGCCGAGTAACTGTGTGCCTAGACTCTGCTCACGGAGAACTACTACTTGCTCGTCGTCGAACTCGACCGGCCCCTTGATGCAGGAGAGCGTGACCTCGGAGGAAATGCCTTTGACCCCTTCCATGGCTGCAACCTGCCTCTTCACCGCCCGGGATAAGACGCTGAACGGGTTGGTTCTTGACCGCCTAGGTTCGGGACTCAGTTGGACGCTTCTATCCCCTACCAAAGCCGCCTTTGATGCTGGACGAGAAGATATCATCTCTTCAAGTTCCCAGATGCGGATTTCGTCTCCCTTTGTGCTCACAGATACTGCTTTCCCTCGCGAGCTCACCTGCACGCCAGACACAGCCGATGTATGGCCCCAGAGCCGTCGACCGGTCTTGATGGATAAATTATCAACCGTCGATACAACTAGGTACATCGTCAGTGTATTGTCGGCGTGGGAAGCAAGAAGATAAGGGTGGGAATATGAAAGTGATGTTGGTGGTTGGGTGTAAGAGAGCGATGGGGCGGAGGAGGAAACATGTCCAGAGGAGCCTAGTGTCGACGTCATCTGCCTGGACCCTTTTATCTGTGGACTTGGAGCTGGTTGTGTCAGTGTGCTGCTGAGATACTGGGAGTCCACGGTCGTTGCAAGTCGAGACGTCAGCTCTCCGCCATCTTTACTCCAGTAGAGCTCCTGGATTCCGACAGACCACCCACAGCCAATGCGTGGGAATGCATAGCTCACAGATGCAATGGCATGGGTAGACGTCGTCCGGACAGAAAGAGAAAATGGTGACTGTATGTTATTCGCGACAAGCGAGGCAATCAGCCGTATGGAATGCCTCCTCTTTGTCTTCTCATTTCTGTCCAGTCCTAACTGTTGGGAATCATCAGAGAATAGTTGATAAAGGTAAAGGACATTGTCTTCTGATATCGCAAGTAGAAAGTCCTTGTGAGATGCCAGAGCCGTTACGGCTGCCTCTTCCGTCCCCGAGCCTGAATGCCATAGCTGAAGTTTAAAGGTCGATTCTCCGTCAGGTACCAATTCAAACGAATGCACGGCCATGCCACCATTTCTAAACCCTATTGTAACGTCGAAACAGCTTTGTTCTAGATCATTTGCAGTCACTGCCATCGCGGTAGGCGCTCCCGGGTCAGTGTAAGCAGTCCCAATGCCTGAACACGGTATAGTTGCGAGACACGTTTTGGTATCCTTTATCGACCACGCTCGAAGTCCATTTTCCATATCCGCCGTAAAAACAATCCCATGCTCCAATCTCACCACCACAGGACTGATCGGGTGCTGAGCCACTTCTACCTCTGTAACTCGACATGACCCTCTTGACCAATTGTGCTGAAGTCGATACTGGCCTTTCCAATTCCTGTCCTCGCCCACTTGGGTCAGAGGGCCATGACTAAACCAGTTTGACACCTGAGGCGAGTAATCAAACGAGCCTTTGACAGTGCTACCCTGCCTGACTTGCCGTATCCGTCTAGCTCTCGGCCATACCCAGCGGGAGTAGTATTTGCGCTTCCATAGCTCCGAGTCTCCTGCGAGCGCCGCAAATCTGTGAGACACCCTGTTTCGAGCACCGGTTAGATAAGGATCAAGGGAGTAGTAGACATCTGATATCGATATACTTACCTCTGACACGTTATCAAAGCCGGGATGGAGAGGAAACTTAGGACGTGGAGAAGTAGTTCATCACTAAGAGCTGAGAGGCGGTCTGGTTGCCTTGTGCGTTTTAACGGCGGCTCCTCCAGAGAATCTTCGCGTTCGCTACGTTTCGCCATAGCTTAAAAGATTCCGCAGCTGCGCTGGGAGTAGCGATCATCCATGCTCAGGTTCTAGTGTGAATACCTATTCCATCCTCGAAGCCCTTTTTCCTGTCAGTCTCGACTTTTGGGCCTTGATAGCAGGTTCCCGATCTTATCTTATCTACGATTACGTGACTAAACTCTGTTTCACGTGATCACGCGTTCGTGGGCGGCCAACGCGTTGTTGCACAGAATGCAGTCAAAGACGACGACAGAAACGACATCAACGTCCTGCGTTCAGTCAACACCCACAAGATTACATTCGAAATATACATGGACTCACTAGCACGATTAACAGAAAACCTCTCACAATGCCAACATCACTACAGCGAGGCTCTCAGGCTTATGCAAGAGACATCAAAGGAGTATGAGTCCACAAAACAGGAGTTCGAGGCGGTTTCCCAAAGGCTGAAAGAGTATGATAACACTCAAGCACGGAATAAGGAACAGATCGAAACCCTATCCAAAGAAAATTGTGCTCTTAAGGCCGCCGTTGATGATCTCAAGCAAGAACTCCGGGATAAAGATAGCGCTCATCTACACGACGATGACTCCGCATTTGAGAAGAATCTCCTGGATAAGGCGAAAAAGCATGACCCTGAAGTTATTATATACCACTTTGAGTCTTCTCCAGGAATTGTGGACTATGACCTCTACTCCCGCGTTGCCGGCTTTTATGGCGAGCTTTACGCAGAGAATATCAACTTGATAAAGTCATTTTGTAAACTGCGTCGAAACCACAAGGCTTCCAAAGAAAAGCTAGTTCTCTGGAATCGACTGCTGGAGAAGGACAGTTTCGAAACCACTGTTAATGGAGAGGCGGTAACTTTCAAAAGAGTCAGCCCAGAACACGTGGGGGGAATGATCATCGCCGAGTCTCCAATCCCCCCTCCCCTTCGGAGCTACATTCCCCAACATACCGAGTATCAGAACAAGACTCCCCCTCGTTCACAGGTCAGAGAACATCATTCAGATCTCGCATCTACCCAATCGCAAGACTTAAGGTATGATGAGTGCCAGCTGCCTCAAACCATCGAATCACCAGATACCCCAGTAGTCGTGAAAGAAAGACCAGTCCGCAAGCAGCAAGTTCCAAGCCCTACGTATTGTGCTGTGAAGGTGGAAGAGAGTCCTACCGACATCGGTACCGCGGAAAAGCCTTTTCATATTAAAAGTGAGCCAACACCCAGCCCGCCTGGCTTGGTATCTGATATCCGGCATCATGAAGATCATGGAAAACATAACCATGACCCTGTTTCCAGCCCTACGCTTGACCCGATTGAGTCACCACTCCCTAGACCCAAGTTCACAGTCTTGCCAGACAGGCATAGCCCCTCGCCTGAGCTCCAGGATGATCCATTGGACCTTCCTGCGAATAAACAGACGGAACCACCTAGCAAAAAGCGCGGGAGACAAGTCCTGCGACCGGTTGATACCAATGTGACTCCTACGTGTAAATTGAACGAATCATCAATACCTCAGTCAAAACGAAGAAAGGCCGATTTCTCAAGAGGAGCTCACGCCATTCCAAGTGTTGCTGAGGACGGCGAAGCTGAAGAATATTTAGCAGGCCGGCGATCATCACGTCCTTCAATGACTGGTAGTGTCAAGAAAAGTACGCCAGCAACAAAAATGCGGCAGACACGTCTCCAAGATCTTTTGGAAACTAGCCATACACCAAGACCAGTTTTGCTTTCAACTCCTCAGACTGTCATAGCTAAGCCAGACAGGTCTGTAGCCCCTCACACACCGAACAATAGGACTGAAGATGCGGCAACACCTTGTGCTCCACAACAGCCGGAAAGCCAGGATATTATTCCTTTTCCAGAGGAAGTGGATGATGATGAGATACGGCCAAGATCCTACTTCCGCGATAGACCAATCAGTGAACTTGGTCTAGAACATTTCAAACTTAACCCGAACAAAAACCAGGGTTTAGATTATGCCTTTGACGAAGTTGTTCGAGATAAGAGCATGAGAAAACAGCTTCGTGGGTGTCTAAGGCAGGAATGTTGTGGCCCAGTCTACCGGAGCATGGCCAAAGATGAGATTGGCGAAGAGCCTCGTCCATTAGACACATTGTCACGCGCAGACCATGATCTCTTAAAAGGAGATTTAGGTAGTAACTACGGAAAATTCTTGGAGGGCAAGTCCCCGATCGAGATCCGTGATGTGTTGATTGAAGCAAAGGCTAGTGTTCTTTCAAATAAGTTCAGCAAACATCGAAATGCGCACGTCCCTGGAGGGTCACCCCCTGGGTATTGGAGAACCGACATGCCGAACACACAAGAAACTGAGCGGGACCGGATGATGGCACGAAAGTTGGAGCGGGAAAAGGTCCTTGATAGATATAAGGAGGCATGCAAGGATGACGGCTATTGGAAGTTTGCCGATGAATAATGATAATATATCAGCAATCTTTGTCGTAGATAGAATAAACCAGGTAACGTCTAGAGTGTTCAGATGCTCTCATCAAGTTCTAGGGCTTTCCCACTGGTTGTTTATTGATGTTAGATTAAGGTTTGTACTAACTAACTAGTTAACTAACTAAAATCTCGGTCACGTGGAAGATTTTAACATCCCCATGCCGAGGCATGTCGCAACTTCGTCCAAACTTTTGTTAACAGCGCAACATACAAAGTACAAACGAGCATTTGCCCTCCACCGAATGCTGAGAAGCTGCCGTCTATTCGAAGTTGATCTAATGAAGCGATTAAGATGAGGACGGCGACGAGCTTCCGAGATCAGATTCCGGAGGTTCTCCAGCCTGCGAAGCTGGTAGAGATGTACGAGGAGTTTGTCACCAAGAATGCTAGCTCAGTTGGTCAGGTTGAGTCGGCGTTACGCTCTTTAACATATATCATACCTGGTAAACATGCTTTAACTTGCGTTGTCACTGTTGGACTTTGCTCGTTGTACTAATACTTCACTGCAGGTCGGTTTAGGGAAGCGGAGCTAGCATCGGAATCGAGTGCGTTACTCCTTAACTTCACAGTAGTAAACAAGGCTTCGCATCGATACTAATAGACACCCTGACATAGTTCACTCCGGCGTTCAGCTACTTTCACTCTACCATGATTCTCTTGTGTCGCGTGTTATAGCTCGCCTCCCACTTTCCCAACCGCGCCCTACTCCTACTCCGCACACTCGATATACCAAATACTGGACCTCCCAATCATCCATATACCACAAAGTTGCTTTGGCACTTCAGATGGTCAAGTATACCGAACTATTATGGGAAATGGCAGCACGCAGGAAAGGCGAGAAACTTCGATGGCGCGTCATTGTTTTTATAGAAGCAGTGAAGGCTTTCTGTCGGTTAATATTATTGCGCTTAACGAACTCTAGACCTATTGTCAGCCCGCCACTCCCAGAACGAGAAGTTGACCCAAGACAATCAGACGGGGATGATAATGGTGATTTTAATGGCATGGAAACACCACCAAGCGAACCATCTGAAGCTATTGATTTAAGCTGGTCAATGCCTCGAACAGGAATGTCGCTACCAAACCTGCCGGACGCAAATGATATCTCGGCTTATCTTACCTCTAAAGTTTTAACAGCGGATGATGTTCGGTCTCCCCAAACATTGTTGCACCGGGTTTCTGGAGCAGGCCAGCTGGCAGAGGTCTTATATATTCTCCGGCCGTTGATTTATGTGATTGCACTCCAGAGATATAGAGCAAAGAAGAAGAGCTGGACTCCTTGGCTTATTGGTTTTGGACTGGAATTTACTTGTCGTCAGCTTGCCAAAAAAGAATTCCGTGATAGGGTAGCAGGAGGCCTTCGTGGCTTATCCAAATTGGAGAGAGAAGAACTCAGTAAGAGAGGCTGGAGCATGGGATGGTGGATTATGAGAGGTGCTTTCTACGAAAACGTTACGAAGTGCGTATCTAACTACTATTATTCTGAGCGGACTGAGAAAACTAACATCTATGAAAGGTCATGGATAAAATCCATTACAAACTCCTTACGCGATAAGCCCCTACTTGGCCTTGTAGGGAGCGTTGTTGAAGACTATGAGTATCTTTGGGACAACTACTATTTCTCCACGGCCACAATGTAAGAGCCGATACAGTACATCTAACTCCCATCCTTGTTTGTCTTTGAACAGTCCTCTCGTTTCGATAATGAGCCAACTGGAGTAGCAAACGAGGCGCGGTTTTTCATTTTCTTTTTTCTTCATACGGAGCTCTAGGTTTTTGGGTGAGATGCTTAGAATATTTTTATTACTGTTTATTTCACTTCTTGTCTGAACATTTTAATTTCCTTTGTTATGTCTCAAATAACATGTATATTCTATAATCTCCCCCTTGAATGGTGGTATCTGCTTCATCCGCTTAAAATATTTCCTCTTGTTTATTTCCATACCAATCCCGCAAGTCATTCACTGGGCCTTCAGTCTCTGATTTGGATGTGAAGTACTGAGTTACCAGCATTGTACTATCATCCTCTTCAGCAGGCCAGTCAACCTTGAGCCCCGATTTTACCTCCAGGAGCTCCTTCGATGTACCCCAGCTAAATCGACATTCAACTCCCCAGCCAAACAACCGGTTCATGTCCTTTTTAAGCCATCCAACACACTTTCCATCCGATGGATATCCACTACCCCAAGTTAATATTTCATCAGCGGTAGTTGCCTCGTCTTCTCCTGTTTCTAGGGTCCTTTGCTTTTCCCTTTGATTCAGCCAACTTTCGTAGCATGCTTCCAGGGCAGCATCTCTTGTGACTTTGGCACATACACTCGCTGCACTGACACAAGGATATAATGAATCGGCCTTCTTGGCTACAGTTATTTTCAAGCCTGGAAAGACTCGTAACAATCTGGCTTGATGGGTTTCCGGCTTTCCGATGGTGTCAACATAAACCTCCTTAACGTCGATGCCTTGAGTTTCGACCACGCCACGTATTATTTCAATGGTCGCATCTAATGCCTGAGCATTGAGGTTATAAACAGCCGCCATAGAAGGTCGTAGCATCCCCGAGGATATGTCTCGGGCGGACATAACTTTGACTGCCCATCCGCATGAGTCGTGTAATGGGTGGCCTTGTGTGCACAAAGAACGCATGAGATTTGACCGGACTTCGGGGGTCAACACTTTACTGTCATCAAAATGGTGTTCATCTGCAAGTAATGATTTATGAAGATGTATGGGGAGATAAAATGCGCTGTAGACCATGGGACCCAAAACTGGTCCTCTACCCGCTTCGTCGATTCCAAGTACACATGGCGTAGGCTCTGCTTTCTTCTCTTCGGTGGATAATTTCACTGATGGTATGATATTGGCTGGGCAGGAGGAATAATGGGAGTAAGATTCCCCTGCTAGCAACCTCGAATGGTCGACCGATGGGGGGACATATATGCCCTTAGAGCCGACTGTCTCGGGAACTGGCTCGTCCAGCAATTCATTCTGAGAGTCTTCCATCAAGCAAGGTAACTAGGTAATCCCGTAATCCCGAGGCGAATTTTTCTCTCTTCCTACCGGGGTATTATTAGAAGATAAGCTACAAGCGAGTTTGAGAAGCTGAAACTCCAAGGTCGTTGTTGACTTCGAAGATAAGATTGATAGTTAACTAAAGCGCGGCTGTTTTGGCGCGTCTTTGGGTTTAGCGCCGCATCCTTTCGTGTGTTAATAATAACTAACTACTCCATACCGCGAGTTGGTAAGTAATTCATCAAGACCGCATAGCTTGGTGACGGCTACTCAAGGGAGGGACGTTGAATCGGAGACATAGGCGGTCACTACAAGGACAGCCGCTGTTTTGGTTGAAGATATTATATACCTTTATCTGGCTGGACCACCTCGCTCGGCAACTGGGTTTCGCATCGGCCTGTCTGGATCGTATACACACATAGCAGCTCTGACAATGGCGGCGCGCAGACCCCCCGTCAAGAGCCGCGAGTTCGATTATTCGAATGTTGGGAAAGCTGGAAGGTAGTTTGGCAGCCCCTAATTTGTTCAGCTTTATAACTGACGCGCATTGCATCTTTAAGACGAACTGGAATCACATTAAAGGAAGGCAAACGCGATGAACATGGCATGGAAGAGCTCGAAGGAATGTTCTCTTCCCCCGAGAAATCTCCCGTGAGAACAAACGGGTTCGCCAATGACGGGCTGATGATTTCAGAAGAAATGGAAACTGGAGGAAGTGAGTGACTGTGCTTGCTCCCATCAAGCCGTTTTTATACCAACGGGTGTTCAGTGTGTAGTCTTCTCTACAACAATTAGCTTACGGGACATATAACTACCAGGCAGTAGTATTCCAGACCCATCAGATGTACTGTCCGCCAGGCGGGGAGGCCGAAATGCTTACATCCCTCCACCGCGATCGCGCTCTCCGATGAAATCCCTCATGAGCGGATCTCCGCGACGAACCCCCGGATTGCGCTCTTCTCCTCTACCGCAGAGCGAGTTCTCAAGTCCTACATCTACACACGTGGCTGCAAAACGAACAATCAACCTAACTCACCCGCTTCCTCAAGCGTCAAAATCTCCTTTGAAGCAAGCTCGAAATCAGTCACACCCGGACTCAGAAGAGGAAGAAGAAGCGGAACAGAATAAAGATGAAGACGAAAAAGAGGAAGAGGAAGAGGAAGAGGAAGAGGATAAAGATGAAGAGGCAAGTGCAGGCGAGCATGCGGGCGAAGAAGAGGGCACAGAACAAGAGGAGAGTGAGGTCGAAGACGGAGGTTCTGAAGCTGTACCGGGTGATGCTGCAGACTTTTCTGATGACGCCAACTATTTAATCGAGGATGAGGCGGAGGATAATGGGTTTGTTGAAGGTCCCGGTGATTACCATGAAGCCGCCGACCATCGTGATGTAGATGCGGAGTCATCTGAAGCAGAACAGGAGCAGGCCGGGAAGTCTCCAGTACCAGTGCTGAATACTGCAAGTAAGGGCAAGAAGCGCAAAGAATCTGACAAGAATGTCGAGGAGAAGGGTGACGATGAGCCCAAAGCAAATCACACTGGTAAGGGGCGTGGAAGAAAGCCGAAAAACCGGCAGGAAGACCGAGATCAGGAACCCAATAACGAAGACGAGAACCCACGGCCGGCAAAGAAGGCAAAAAAGACTGCTAAATCTAGCAATCTTCAAATGACTGTCGATCAGGAGAAAGAATTGCAAAGCGTTGTGGAAAATATCACTAAAAATGATGGACCACTTAATAAGAAACGCAGCTTATATATTCTACGACGGGAGACTCCATCGGACGACACTGTTCGGCATACACGCTCTGGCAGAATATCTGTCCGGCCGTTGGCCTATTGGCGCAATGAGAAGTGCGTTTATGGAACCGGTGAGGCAGAAGTTGGCCAGAGGTTCCCTCTCTCTACAATCAAGGAGATCATTAGGACAGAGGATCCTGCTATCGACCAGTCAGGGAGGAAACGGGGTTCAAAGAAAAAATCGAAGAGTAAAAAGAAGGGAGGGAGTGAATCCGATGATGAGCCAGATGAGAATGCTGAGCCCTGGGAGACACAGGAGGGCGTTTTTTACGGCCCTGTAAAAACCTGGGACCCAGAAAAACAGACCGGAACCCAAGAAGAAGAAATGATGGGTAAGATATACTACCTATTTTTTATGTTATTCTGGCAAAAATTAACCCACTTCCGACTAGATGTTGCTTATGCTCCCTCAGCGATTGAGACACATGAAGTCAAGGATTCTACCTTCCGTTTTGCAAAGATCCTCAGTACACCATTTCTCGGATCTGGGTTTGTGGAAATGCCTCCAAATGCGATCAAGAAGCAGAAAAACTCAAAACGAATGCATATGGTTTTCTTCGTTTACTATGGCAGAATTCGGGTCGATATCGCAGGCTTGCAATTCAGTGCTGGCAAGGGGTGTGTCTTCCAGGTACCTAGAGGTGAGTTAATATTCAAGCCTGTGTAAGTAATTGTGGATAACAGCTAACCAAATAAACCATTTCAGGGAACAACTACAGCTTTGCAAATGAATATAAAAAACCAGCAGCTATATTTTTTACGCAAGGTTGCATACCCCTGGATGCGGATGGGAACGTTGACACCGGCGTTGCCGCCCCTCCTGTGCCAGAGGCTCCTTCAACTCGAACAAATAACAATGCTACTGAGAAAGGAGGTAAAAAGCGAGGTCGTCCCAAGCAGGGCGCCAAAGGAGGGTGATGACGGTTTACGTACCTTTTCTGATTTCCCACAGTATACGCTACCGTGTACGACTTTTTATACAATATACTCTAGGCATGAGCGATTCTGTACAATGGACCTATACCCTCTGAATAAATCCAACGGATACCATCGAGGCACTACGTAAACAGTATGTAAAACCGGTAGATGATTTGTTAAGAGACGCTCATCTATTATTATGTTGGTTGTAGCCGTTGTCATTCAAAATATACGTACGAACCGCTTGGTCCTGCCCGTAGTAATCCCTTGCTCTATTTAATACCCACGGATTATACGTACCAAAGAGTAGTAGGTATGTAGATATTTATCACCTGGCTAGACCAAATTATCAAGGAAAACTCGTGTTTAGATCTCTTCCATGTCCTCGTCCAAATCCAATCCCAGTGGCGGGTAGTCGCCAACCTCGACTTTCTCTGGCTTGACAAAAACACCGCAGTTGTTTGGGCAGGTGAAATATCTCTCCCCGTTCACACTACCATCATTCTTACCAGTAGGTTCGTCAAGTTCGATACCTACCCATATCGGTGCCAAATCATCGGGTATTTCCCCTGAATAAGTTTTGCTAAGGGGCGATGGAATGGCAGGGACAGGACCAACAGATCTGATAGCCCCCCTACGGATATGCGGGGGGCTTGATGGGAGTATTATTGCCCGCTCAGAGACTCTAATTCCTGTTTATTGAAACACCTATCGGTGAGAGACTTGAATAGTAATAAGCAGGGACGGGGAGTACCTTTGGTTTTAATTTCGTTGGCATCCTTCTGAACCTGTTGTCTCGCTTTGTCTTCTGGAGATGTAGCATTTGGATCAAAACGTCCAAGTTTTTGAGCTTTCTTCCATGCAAGAACACTATTTGGTAGTGACTCGTAGGTAGAATCCGAGAGTTCAAACTTCTCAGTCGTCGAAACATCGGAGTAGTTTGGACGCGCAGCCACGGGGCGCTGGTCATGGATCTGATACACTGTTAGAACATACTGTCCAGGCCAAACTTGCGTGATACAAGAAATCACAACAGAAGGAAAATAAGAAAAAGGGGGGTAGTATATGGATTTGGCCAGAAACCAGCCAAACAGAATTCAAGCGTGGTTATTCAAATATACCTCGATCTCACAGCCCTTTGCAATTCCCCACTGGCTAATAGCTTTTTCTTCACCATCCATCCATTGGTGTTCGCGTCCTGGGGATTTTAACATTAACCGCTGGCTGCCTGGAGGAATCCCAGTCATAGTTTCGAGCTTTATTTTGAGCTGGCTGACTGTCCATGATGGAGTTACTCGACGCTCAGTTGCAAAAGATGGTTTCTCAACCGGACTGTCAGAGGCAACTGATACCTGTACTGACACGTCGGCCGGGCTAACAAGAGGATCCATCTCGAGTATAAAAAAAAAAAATAAAAATTACAGGAAAGAATCGAGTAGTCGGGTGGATGACGGTTTGCCTTCTGGAGTCCTTGGAGTAACTTGGATGAATGCGAAGTACTAGTTATCAAATATCAAATCACCCCTCAGTTATTAACGCGGAATAAGCGCAAGGTAACTGAGTTAACGAACAGTCACCTCTTTAGTTAAGTTAGCCGCAGCCGCGCGGATGGAGAACTATCAACTAGTTATAGCAATCCACTTTGCCTTTAACCATTGTCCAAAATCAATCAACGGTCCTTTTTAGCAAATATATTTTTCTCTGCATATGGGACGGCCCAATCTCCATGAAGGTAAATGCAATGGCCAGCAATAGCGAATCCTACGAAGAAGAGCATGTCCACAAGGTCTACCAGGAAATTGCACCACATTTTTCATCAACTCGATATAAAGTATGTTCACTAAGTTCCTCAATATTAAGATAAATACACCTAACAGAGGGTCAGCCGTGGCCAATTGTCGAGCGGTTCTTGAAAGATATTCCCAGCGGCTCTATCGGCCTAGATGTCGGATGTGGCAATGGGAAATATTTGAAAGTGAATTCCAATATATTTATCGTAGCCTCAGACAGGTGAGAGCTTTAAATTGTGCCCCCAAGGATCCCTTTCTTGTCCCACTCTGAACTGATATTTCAACGTAGATCTGAGGCTTTGACTAAATTTGCAAGACAACATCAACCACACTCAGCGATCATAGCAGACACTCTGAGTCTGCCTCATCCGGATGGTTTCTTTGATTTTGCAATTTCAATCGCGGTGATACACCATCTATCCCTTCCAGAGCGCAGGATAAGGGCAATAGCTGCCATTTTAAATACCCTAAAACCGCCTGCCCTAGAAGATCCAAATGGTGGGAAAGTGCTTATCTACGTCTGGGCTTTAGAGCAAAAGGATAGCCGGCGTGGCTGGGATGCAGATCATGAACAGGATGTAATGGTACCCTGGGTTTTGAAAACTAATGGGGGAAAAGCAAAGAATACAAAAGCTAGAGGCATGAATAAGGCTGAATCGCTTGAAATCTCTGCGGATGAAGCTGGCAAGACAACAGAGCCAGAGAAGAAACCAGAGCCGACTACCTACCTTAGGTATTATCACCTTTACCGAGAAGGGGAATTGGAAAATAATATTGCTGCTGCCGGAGGAAGAGTCTTGGAGTCTGGATACGAGAAAGATAATTGGTGGGCGATCGCATGCCCATTACCACGGACATAACGTTGTCACTAGGCGGTTGGACGGAAGTATGGTATTGAGAAGAGTCCACTTACCATAATCTGTACGAATCGAGTTGGCCGTAGATATATACAAGAGTAGATATAACATTGAAGTTCAGGAGGGCTGATATTTTCATTCCTGGTTACATTTCTCCGCTATTATTCAAGTCCCCAAGACAGGAAACACGTAGGAGAGGAAGCCTGTATAATGACATGATTGCTTTGGGAAACACGGGCTAGTTTACCGGGGACCCGTAAAGAATTTCCATTCCTGGCTACCACAAGGTGGATTCTCTCCACGCGTGGGGAGAGAATTTAACCCTCTCTCCTGTGATTTGTGATTGCTTGGGTTCACAAATAATTTCTCTCTTATTTCGCTGGGGAGTAAAAAGCCTGCCTTCATTGTTGGATTAAAGGTACTAGACAGAGGATCTTCCCCTCTTATTTTCCATTCCTTGACTGGAGTAACGTAATTTTGAAAAACGACAGCCTTGACATTCTCATCCGTGGGTCTTCCGAGACATAAAACAGATCCCGAAAATTTGTCGACAGGTTGATTATCTTTACCTATTGTTCTCCATAGCAAAGAGGCAGTAATGGCAGAAGATTCCCACACGTACTCAGCACCTTCGATCATTGCTTGTTTTGTTGAACTCGTGGCTATTTGCCCTTCCACTCGTCGTTCCTTGTTTATCGAAACATCAAATGTGGTAGTAAAAACGGGTTTTCCTTCGAGGGCATCAATATAGTCTGCCCATCCAGTGACCATTCCAACACCCGGTGGGCTAGTGATGCGTGGAAGGTTAGAGTCCGTAAACAAAGACAAATCATGGGTGTATCCTGCTGGATAAGGGTAAAGTGGGCTTGGATTATCATATGTAGTTGTAATGGTTCCAATCTAGAATTCTCGGCACTATGGTTAACGTAATGTACAAGCATTATAGATAGCACTGTATCCGTACCCTGGTGGCTTCACCTGAAAGAAATACAGCTTTCCCAAGGGCAGAAGACGCAAGAGCACCCCGTTGACGGCACTCCACCTCACCAGAGAACATATTAAGAGGCTTATTCGGCAGGAATCTTTGTAACCGCTGCTTTGCTTGAATCACCCAACTGGCAGCCCTTGGGAAGCGAGGTACCGACTGGGGTAGCTTGACGAAGCCATGGCTAACAGTTGTAATTGCTTCTTCACCGCCCACAAGCCGTATTTTTAAGCCAAGGCATATCTGAGAAGTAAAGGAACTTGGTGTAGGTGCAATACCATTACCATCTGGTAATGGTATTGTTTCTCTGCATGCCGTTATGTCCACAATGTCAAAACGGGGTAATAAACCGCCTACGTGGTCTGGGTTTCCGTTGCTCCAGGCACTTTGCATTTCCGCCATATTTCTAAAAAGAAATACGGCATATCCGGATACAATAATTCTGATCCCTATACAGTTGGGGTAAAATCGTTGGATTTCCGCAATATCCATGGCAGTCAACATTCGACGCGGGTATATGAACCGTGAAATGTGGATATCTCTGGAGAGCATATACCTCAATGGATGAGGCGCATATACTCCCCGCTCAATGTGAATCTCCCTCCCGGCAGCATGGGTATAATCAATAATATTTTCAGATGCCTCTACCAGCCAGAATATCTTCCCTGACATTTCCTGGTATATTGAGACGACTTTACTGGCAGACAACGCAGGATGATAGGTGCGAACTAGTTTCTCGTTACCTGCAGTTACCGCGTCCTCAAGTACGGCTCTTGCAGCTGCAACTTTCGGGCTACCCCATTCTGTTGATTCTGTTCCTGTTGGAAGAATGGATTAACAGATGTATTGTGATGTGATAAAACAAAACACTTTGCCACACATACTTTCGATACATGAGATAAAAGAGCAGCTCCAGTTTCCATCAACTGGAGTCATTGTAGACAGCCTATTGGCTGGTAGGTCCTGTAGGCTTTCTGGAATGTCAGGGTATCGCCGAAACGGGTCTGCAACACCTGGGTTTAGGCGTCTTCTTTTGTGGCCCGCCATTGTAAATCCTGGTATCATTTGACGGAGAATTCACCGTGTTGTGTACCAAGTTTTTCAAGACTATCTAGTAACAGTATAGAGGTCTGACGCAACGTTGTGATGAGGAGACGTTGGATATCGAATGCTGGTGGTTAGATAGCTGTTTACAAAAGGGGCAACCGCAACAGCTTCGGCAGCCTTAAGAGTAGGTGAGCGGTCGAAGTTGGGTCACATGATGTTATCAAGCCATTGAAGGGAATGTAAGTGCACGTGACAACTATAGAGTCATTCACATTAGTGTGTTATATAAGCAGAAAAAAGGAGGGGATTTGCACCAATCAACGACGCGCTTTTCATAAGAGACGAAGACGCAGAACGACGGCAGCTCATCAAACAAACATCGACAGAGAGAGACATGAGATACCACAGACAGTCATAAATAATTAGAACTACACGTTCCTGAAAGAAGAGACATTAATCCAACAAAGCCCCGGAAGTCAAGTACCAGCGAACAAAAAAAAAGGAGAGAAAAGTATATCCAGGATGCAAACCGTCCGCCCAGACCCGCTATGCAGTCAGTCATCAATCGTTCGTATTGATTACGTCTAATGAGCAATTCACTCGATTTTATATTCTTCTCTCATGCGGTCTGGGGTTTGTTCGATATGCCTCTAGTGTGGTAGGGCTCGGCGGAGATCGAGGAGGTGATGTTGTGTGGTGCATTACACCAGATGGGTGTGTTGTTGCATATGCCGGAATGCCTGCTGTGAGTTCGGCAACGGAGGGAAGCTGGGTGACTTGCGGGGGGTAGTTTGGACGGCCTGAGCCGATAGTTGGCTGGCTGGCCCTTCGGGCTCTCTGGGGTGGTGATGAGGCGACGTTGGAGAATGTGAACGGAGTGACTCCTGCCCGTTGAGCCATACCGCGCTCACCGATCTGCCAGTGCATGGCTTCGGCTGCTCGCCATGGGATAGCCATCTCCTCGGCGATTTTAGCCCACATATCTGCTTTGAATCTATGCCTAGTCAGTATGTTGTGATGGCCGAAAAGAGGTGGAGGACGAAGGAGAAAACTTACCGTTCATACAAGCGGGCCAATTTGTTCTTTTTATCCTCGTCCCATTCACTCCTCCTCTCGAGGTAGTTCTGATAATGGAGGCGGCAACTGATGGGGCTCCTGTTTGGGAGTCTCTTGCTGATGTCCTCCCACTTCATGCCTTTACCTCGGAGTATGGTAATTAGAGCATCTTCATCGGCCGACCACTTCGATTGCTTCTTGATGCGGTCCTTTCCTGTGGGAGAACTCTTGCCACGCTTCGATGGCACTATCGATTGTTGTTGTTGCTGCTGCTGCTGCATGGAAATCTGGTCCTGTGGAGCTGGCTGGTACGACCACTCCTCGACTGACGAGTTTGGGATGCCCATTTCGATTACTGGTGACTGGAATCCTTCGCTGTGCGCTTTTCTGATTGATGTGTGGATGTTTGCTGGTGTTCTTGAATCCTGGAGCCTTATTGTATTCTTCTCCTCATCCTCTGGAGATCCCAGAAGCTTTGAAATATCCACCTTGCCTGTGACAATATATGGAACAATGCGCAAAACCATAATAGGTCTCGCCGCAGCTGTGGACAGGCTTGAATGTCAGCGCAAGGTTCAGATATGAAAATGGAATAAGTTCAAAATTCTTGGTGAGAATGGGGCTTCTGATGGCGAAGGAAGAACAATGCTGATTTCTGGGAAATCCAACGCGCCAGATGTGGGAGAATGGTGGTTATTTATCTGCCTCGAAGCTCCGCTAAAGCTCTTCACCGACGATTTCAAAGCGTACGGGTGCCAAAAGGGGAAATAAGAGAAATCTGGCGCGGTCGTCATGCCAGGTTGCATATAGGGGTAATAGTGACTGGGATGATGGAGTGAGGTTCGGCCTCTTTCCTTTTGCTATAGTCCCACACCCGTCTTTTGTCCCGCTCATCGCGAATGATTGCACGTGTGTATTGTGCAACTCTGGACGAGAAGAAAGTGAAAGGGGGAGGGTTATAGTGAAGGGGAGATTAAGCGTGGAAGGGGCAATGCTGAGGAAAGAAAAGAATTAATGGGTTGGTGGAGGCTGCCAGAAGAAAATTGAGACCTACCGCTATGTATGCAACGTCCACAACTCCCTCGAGGAGTTCCAAGGATCAACCCAGGAGTTTATCGGGACTCGATGTATTCTCCCCGGATTCGGTAGCACACAATGGTCTATGGCTCAATCTGAATACCTGTTCGAGTGCTGATTTTCGGGCAGATGTAACTGCAGCTATTGAGAAACGGTACAGCGTCGTCGAGGCGGTGGGGATGTCGAGATTGCAATTTTCCCAAAGCTGAACTGTGAAAGAAAAAGGGGGGATTTTTTTGAGGCGTGAAAAAGAAGAACGTATCTCCACGACAGAAATATGAAGGTTGATGCGAAGATGACGGTTTTAGCAAGATGCGGCTGCAGCCGTGTACAGGGTAACCCGTGCCAACGGACAGAGTACGAACAGTCGGTCAAGTATATTGAGGATTCCCTCCAACTTTGCAAAACGAAAAAGAAAGAAGCTGCGAACCCGAGGACAACCAATATTGGTGCACAGAGAGGAGAAAATGTGGGAGGGTAGTCCTCAAGGATTTTTCTTTCTTTCTTTTCCCTCTCGTTTTTCCTCTCCTGACCTGCTCGTCGGATGTGATTTCACTGTCTTGGAGAAAATCCCAATCGGAGCTTTAGGCTGAAGAATGACCGTGCTTTTTGAAGCTGGGCTTACCAAGCCAATGAGGGAGGGAGGAACTGAGAACTGCAAGCAGCAAGGGGCGGTGATCAAGCTGTGACCAATTATTGGATATCTAACTCTTTGCCCAACCAAGCCTGAGACAACGAGCAAACAGCATATCCCGACTTCTCTAGTCGACAGAGGGAAATTGCAACGAAGGCGGCTGCAGAATAAGGAACAGTCCAGACGATAAGCACGATAAAACAAGGCCAGAGGCGAAAGTGCTGTACTTTGGAGGGTATCCTCTTTGTTGGGGGAAGGAGGAAGAAGCGGAAGTCAGAGTTGAGCTGTGAACTATGGGTCCGGTCTTAAAAGCAGCTGAAAAAAAAGGGGGGGGAGG